TCCCAAACCCTGTTGTCTGAAGGCTGGTCCTCCCTGAGCACAAACATCTCCTCCTGTATTTAACCATTCTGAAGGGCTGGAGAAAACTTTGAAAGACCATCCTGGGAGCACAGTGCCAGCTCCTCCATCCTATTCTTGCCCCGTGTTTTGGAAAGGCCCCTCCAGAGCTGAGAAAATAAGAGAACTCAAGAAGCAGTTCCTGTGCAGTCTTGGTATTACCTGCTTCCTTCTCCTGCCACAGATTTAGGTGCCAACATTGTTCCAGACTGCAGCAGGAACACTCAGAGCTCAGATTCCTCCTGTGGGGAGTTACTGGGATTTATATGGGATTTACAACCAGCACAGGTTCCCCAAAGGAGCTGTGGCTGCCCCTGGATCTCTGGAAGGGTCCAAGGCCAGGCTGGACACGGCTTGGAGCAAAATGGGATAGGGGAAGGTGTCCCTGCCCATGGCAGGGGGGGTTGAACTGGGTAAGCCTAATGTCCCTCCCAACCCAAACCACTCTGTGATTCCATGATTTGATGGTCTGTGCCAGGGACCAGCCCTGCCAGGGCAGGCAGCAGGATGTGAAAAACTTATCTACTCTCCAGCATCAAAGAAGTGGAAATCCCCACAACCAGAGAGGGGCCAGGTGCTTGGGGCTTCTCTAAATTGGGCTTACACTTCCCCATCTAGGAAATGGAGGTATCAGTCCTCATCTGCCTGATGGAAATGAGATACTGTGCTCCTAATGCACAGGGCAGTGCTGGGACTACTTTACAGTGAATTGCACAGAAGATTTTATTTCCCTCAAGGCACTTAGGTACCCTGTTAGATCTGCATCAGCTCAGTTACTCCTCCAACAGGGACCTGCACAGGTTGGCATGCTCTGGAAGGTAAAAGGTGATGCCATGTGATTTACTGAAGGGCACAACTTAAAACAATCTGATCTCTTCAGAAAAAAAGGTCAAAATAATCTCATTATAAATTTCAAATAAAAGAAGACAGCTCAAATTCTCCCCTTTACACACACACACAGTGTGCAGCCCAAGCAGGGCTTGTCCAAGCTTGTGTCCCTCAGGAAACGAGTGTCCCGTGATGCTGGGAGACGAGCCATGAAAGCCAGTGGGAGGTGGCAGGATCCCCACGGAAGCCACAGCAGTGTCAGCTCCCCTGCAATTCCTGGCCTGGCAGCCAGCTGGGCCAGCAGCCAGCTCAGCCCTGCTGGGCACCAAGTGCCTCTTGACATGGGCTGAGCATTGCCTGAGCTTTGGGATGGGGCCAGGGGATGAGAGCAGTGGAGCCAGCACAGGGAACGCTGTGCTCGGAGGGCACAGAGCAAAAACAAAGCTGCTGGCAAGTGCATCCCAGCAAGGGGGACACCCCTGAGGCCCTGTGGTGTTTGGGGGAGCAAAGCAGGGGAATGGAACCCCAAAGTTAGGAAACCAAAGGTTGAATGAGGCTGGTGGCTTTATTGTGAGAATCCAAGCCTCACGTGCAAGGAGAGGGTTGATTTTCACAACATCAGGTTCTCAGAGGTCAGCTGGGCTGGCTTGGCCATTCCTGTGCTGCTGCACCCCTCAAATGGGGGGAGCCACACACAAACTGTCAGCCAGGAACAACTCCTGCACTCTGCTATCTCCCAAACCACGTTAGGGAATGGCACAGTTCTGGTTTGCTGTGATAGCACAGCTGCAGTTTCCTCATGCCTAACCCGGGTTAGAGCTTGGTGATGCTACTGATAACACAGCCAATAATTCCTGAAAAAAAAATAAATTCTCCTGGCTGAGGATTCCTTCCTCTGTCAAATTCACTCTCTCTGTATCAAAACTATCTCAAGGGCGAGGCAATATTCTGCAGCTTTTCTCCCTGATCTCACTAATCCTTTGCTGTTTGTGTTTTCCTGATCCCTTCACCACTTTCTTTTCCTACACACAACCAACACAGCACCCAATGCTTTGGGGCTGGATTTCAGGTGGCTGTGAAATCCCTGGATGAGTACACCAGGAATCAAACCAGACCAGCACACAGTCCCAAACTGTAACCATCAGGTTGGTCAAGTGTCAGCACACCCCTGGGCATGGTTTTGGTCCTGCCACCCCCACCAGTCCCTGCCTGCTGTATTCAGCCATGCAGGGATCACTGATGGGCTGGGACTGACCCTTTCCAGAAACTGGAATTGTGTCAGCAAAGTGCCTGCACTGACAGAAAAAGGAGCCTGGATTTGTCACAGCAGCATCCCACTTTCACCTCTTGAACTTCCTTTAGCACTAATCTTCCTTCAGTGCAGATCTAGAACTGGGAACTCCTGCTAGCACAGGGAAACCTCAATAAGCCAGCCAATCCCTCCCTATTTGGATCCATCTGATGATGGGACAACCCTGGAAGCATCTGTGGCCAGAGCGACCAAACCAAACTGGCCATGTGCTGCTTGTGGGTTCAAATCATCCCCAAAAAACCTCAAGGGTGAGGCTGCTCAGCTTTGCTGTCATCCACAAAAGCCTCTTGCTTTTGATTTTTTTTTGAGGCTGCGGATTTTAGAGCTTTGGTCACTCGAAAAAAATGTACATAAATCATGCAGAGCCCTGCGGCTGCTGCGGGCAGAGAGGAGGCACTGCCAGGGAGAGACTGCAGCCCTGTGCCAACCCCATGGAGCTGGGAGCTCTCCTCTCCCCTGAAATAAAAGTCTTTGTCCCCATCCTGGACCTCGTCCCATTTAACCCCATGGGCTCTCCCAGCCAGGTTCTGGGTTTGCAGGGACAGAAGTGATGCCCTTCCCAGAGTCTATAAAGCACCAAGGAAGGGGCAGATGGCAGATTCCCTCCACAAAAGGCATGCAGGCTGTGCTGCATTCACTTGCTTAGAACCTACCCAATCCCAAGGATTTGGAGGGTGGGAAGGAGATGGGAGCAATCTGCCCCTTACTATCTGGAAGTGTCCAAGGCGAGGTTAGATAGGGCTTGGAGCAACCTGGTCTAGTAGAAGGTGTCCCTGTCCATGGCAGGGAGCTGGAACTGGACTACCTTTAATGTCCCTTCCTATCTTTAATGTCCCTTCCAATCCTTCCAATCCATTCCATGATGCTGTGAAGGATGCAGCTTATAATTTATGGCATCTGCACAGCTGCAGCCTCCAGCAGCCTCCCTGGGCATTTATTCTTCTGAAATTTACTAATGATTAATTGTTTATGCACTTCAAGGGCCACTGGTCTGACCCCATGAGCAAGGGTTACCCTGTAAACTGACAGATAAAAAATTAAGCTGGTGCCTGACTCAAGATGTGCAAGTAGCTGCAAGCTCATGCATGTGACCTGGTGGTGGCACCTCCCTTGTGGCCATCCCTCCCTTCCATCCCTCCCTGCCATCCCTCCCTGCATCCACAGGGACACAGCCCTTGGTTCAGCCACAGGCTGCGGCTGCAGCTTCAACGTAAACAAATAAAAGCAATTAATGTCCAGGAAACAGAAAATCCTGCAGGGTGCAGGGCTGTTAACCCACACCTTCCCCAGCTGCGTGGGAGGGAATGTGCAATGGTGTGGTTTGGCCTGAGTGAGTGAGCCCTGAGTGGTTTTCTAGGTACTGTTTGCAGCACATATCACCACAGCATCCCAAGGCAGGAGCACAGTCTGCTGCTACAATTCAGAATTCATGGCTGCTTGTCCTCTCCCTGCCCTGGCAGAGGACAAAACCACACTTCAAACCTGCTGGATTCATCCTTTTTCATGACCTTTCCGTAACTTTGCTCTTTTTCAATGACTGTTGCCAGGAAACACTACACTCCTCATCCTAATCTGCAGCAAGCCATCCTAGAATCCCAAAACATTTTGGGTTGGAAAGGACCTTAAAGCTCATCTCATTCCAACCCCCCTGCCATGGGCAGGCCACCTTTCATTAGACTAGGTTGCTCCAAGCCTCATCCCACCCAAAAATCCTCCAACTAGCAATATTTAAATAATTTCCCAGCTCTGAAGCTACAATCCCACAATTGCACCTCCCCATCCCAGTAAAAACCTGTGTGCCCCTTGTGTCACCTTGGCACAGCTACTGGGATGCTCCAAACCCAACCCTGCTCATGCCAGGGAGGAATTGGTTTGGCACCAAACAAACAACTGTTAAATGTTTACCTGAACTTATATATCTATATATTTGTGTTCAGGAAAACCAGAACACTTTAGACTGTCCACAATATTTTCCTCCCTGCCCCTAGGGAAAAAAAAAAAAAAAAAGAGAAAAAAAAAGTGAGATGCTTGTGGTGTTTTCAGCCAGGAAAATATCCACATGAGATATGAGATACAGGGGGGACATGACCCCGAAGTGTTCTGGAGAAGATCAGCAGGGAACAATCCTTCGGTGACCCTTTGGAGACGCGCCCCAGCTCGTGTCCCCGCAAGGAGCGGGCGGCAGCTCCAAGGCAAACACCGGGAGCTGGTTCTTCTCCCAGCTCACGGCTGAACTATGCATCTCCTTCCCGTGGCCTCCAGAGCTCCCCGGGTGTCAAAGTCGTTAAAGGAAAATCCGCCCACAGCCATTTCAAACAAACACGCAGGAAAACCACTGCCCACCTCTCTCCTTCAGGAAGCCCTTGAGATACCGGTAGCGGGGGAATTTAAGGCAAAATCCGCGTCTCCCTGCTCATCCCTGCCCTCCTTAAGGTCTTCCCCAGCACCCACCTGAACCAACCCTGGCTGGATGAACCACAACTGTGCGTGGCACAGAGGGAAGATCCCGCATCCCCCCGCATCCCAGGGGTGTCTGCAAGCACCAGGCACCGCACACCGCCCACCCCCGCACCCATCCCGCATCCCGCTTCCCCCGATGGGAACGATGCTCCCGGCGCCGCGGGGATGCAGGAGCGCACCGGGAACTCCCCGGGGACCCTCGGGTGTTCCGGCGGGAGAGGAGGGGACCGCAGGGAGGGGATCGCCCGCAGTGTCCGCTCTCAGTGCCCGCACTCAGTGCCTGCTCTCCATCTCCCGCACTCCATGTCCACACTCATCCCCTGCACTCAGTGGCCGCACTCACCCCCTGCACTCAGTGTGGGCTCTCCCGTCCCGCACTCACCGCTCTCAGTGCCCGCTCTCAGTGCCCGCTCTCGGTGTCCCCTCGGTGTCCGCTCTCCCCTCCCCTGTCCCGCTGCCGCCGCCGAGTCCCGGCGCTGCCGCCTCCGGGAGCCCCCGCGGCCGCCCCGCGCATGCGCGCCCCGCCCCGCCCCGGGGTGGCCCCGCGGGCCGAGCCCAGCCCAGCCCAGCCCGGCCCGGCCCGGCCGGACAAAGCGGGGCTCAACCCTGCGGCACCACCCTGATCCCGTCACCCCAGGGGTAGGTGCAGGACAGAGCTCAGTGACACATCCGTGAGAGGGGTGCAAAGTCACGGAATCACAGAGTCGTTCCTACGAGGTCATCGAGTCCAACCTGTGACCGAGCGCGGAGCTGAGTGCCGCGTCCTGCTGCTCCTTGGCACCTCCAGGGATGGAGATTCCAGCGCCTCCTGGGCAGCCCTTCCAATGCCTGACCACCCCTTCCATGAAGAAGTTCTGCCTCATGTGCAGCCAGAACCTCCTCTGGCCATAGCTTGAGGTTCTGTCCCTTGTCCTGTCCCTTGTTCCCTGGGAGCAGAGCCCACCCTCCCCTGGCTGTCCCCTCCTGTCAGGGACTTGTGCAGAGCCACAAGGTCCCCCCTGAGCCTCCTTTTCTCCAGGCTGAGCCCTCCAGCTCCCTCAGATGCTCCTCACAGGATTTACAAGTCACTGCAAGGTGGTTTGGGATGGGAAGCGACCTTTGGAGGTCACCTGGTTCAGCCCCAGAGATCACCCTCAAAGATGGAGATTCTACATTTAAAGTAAAAATCACAGGACCAGGGCTATGGGCACCCACTGAAGCACAGGAGATTCCTCTGAACACCAGGAAACACTTTTTCACTGTGAGGCCAAGAACTGGCACAGGTTGCCCAGCAAGAGGTACCTCCACCCTTTGAGATATTTAAAATCCATCTGGACATGGACCTGGGCAACCTGCTCTGTGTGGCCCTAAATGAGCAAGAGGGCTGGACCAGATGACTTCCATGGAGTGGGGGGGAACCCCCTGATTTCAGTGCTGTGGACATGCAAGTGTGGAGGAGAAGATGATTTTCCACAAGATTTCCAAGCTAAAGGCAGTATGGCCTCAAGCCAGCTGCCAGCACCAAAATCTTTGGGCTCCAAAAACCAGGCATTTTCACCCAAATGGCCTTTCAGGAACAGCTTCTGGGCTCCTGAGCAATGCCTCAGGGAAATGTGTGGGAGAGGCTGATGGATCCTGGATGGAGCTGTGCCAAAGGCACAGTGGTGGGTTCAGCTGTAGGGTCACCATGACCCCAGGAGCAGGTTAATTTATGAGTTACAGAGTTTGCCCTCTCCAGGCTCTGCCTCAGCTGGTTCATGCAGGTTCTGCTGCTCCAGCCTGTCAGAACCGCTGGTTTCTGATGGGTTTATGAGGAAAACAGAAGGACTGCTTGTTCTGCAGGGAGAGCATCCACAGAGAGGCAGCCCAGGAATGTGACTCTGTGGCTCTGATAAGATCTCTGCAGCCTGGGTGAAGGTTCAGCACATCCCAGCACAAATCTCACACCACATGGGAGAGCAAATGACCCCAAAATGAGGAGGGAAAACATCCAGGGTGAAGAAGGTGGGAAGGAACCTCAATTTTTCTCTGCCATTGCACTCAGGGATGTGAAAGAGATACAACTGGCAGCTACCAACCCCCTCAATGACATCTTGCACTCATTTTCTGTCCCTCTAAGACATCTCCTGAAAGACCCATAACACTGCACCCTCCTCCTCCTCCATTCCTGAAACTGGGAGGGGATTCTGCCCCTCTGCTTCATTCTTGTGAGACCCCACCTGCAGATCTGAGAACCCCAAAAGCAGAAGGACAAGGAGCTGCTGGAGAGAGACCAGAGGAGGCCACAGAGATGCTCCAAGGGCTGGAGCCCCTCTGCTCTGGAGCCAGGCTGGGAGAGCTGGGGGTGCTCACCTGGAGAAGAGAAGGATCCAGAGAGAGCTCAGAGCCCCTTCCAGAGCCTAAAGGGACTCCAGGAGAGCTGGAGAGGGACTGGGGACAAGGGATGGAGGGACAGGACAAGGGGCAATGTAGGAGGTGGGACATAAAATACAACCCAGGCAGATGGGGATGGTGGGGGGTGACATCCCTGCTGCAACACGGACACTGCAATGCTGCCAGGCCACCTGCACCTATTTTACCCCAGTGAAAGGTTTTTACCTCATTTATCCTCAAGGGATGCCCCAGGGCAGCCATGGGAAGGGCAAAGGGCAGCTCTGTGTGGGATAACTGCTCTCTTGGAGGGTGCTGACAGCCTGTTCTGCACCCCAAGCCTGTGGATGCTGCACAGTGAGAGCTCTTTGATCCCTGGCTCTCAGGTGAGTGGTACCAAGCCATGCTCTGTAGTTCATCTCAAACTTACCCTGCTGTGCTCAAACTCACCCTGCTTTTACTCCCTAGCATTGACAATTTAAACCCTGAAATGAATCACCCAGCTCCCTCCAAGTCAAAGCCCAGGTGTGGTTGTGTTTGCCCAGAAGATTAGTCCCAGAGTCAGGACTGGGTTGTACCAGGCTGAGTTCTCCCTACCCTCTAGAGTCATCTGATGATTCAAACACACTTTGTGCCCTCAAACATGTCCTGAATGCCTTAATTCCCCACCCAAATGTGCATCATAGAGTGGTTTGGGTTGGAGGGGACCTTGGAAGGGACCTGCAAAAGGTTGTCCTGTTATTTTCAGGTGCGCAGAGTTATTACTCAAAAAAAGGATTTTCTTTTGTGGATCAGGGTCTCCCTCCACCAAAAAGCCTCCACACACACCATGTCCACCCTGTGCTGCTGAGAAGCAATGTAGCAGCTTTGCACCAAAGACAGCTGAGTTATTACAAGCACCAAAGGTAATCCAGGAAGTAGGAGTTACCTTTTCCTGTAATAAAGAATAATGACTTGTTGTTATTGTAGTGGGGTAAAAGAGAAAATTTTTTGCCCTGTCTGTGCCCATATGGAACTCCTTCCCATGGGGCAAGAATTTATGCTCATCATACATTTGGCAAGTTTTACATAAAAATTCTGCAGATGCAGAATTAGAACACTAAGAAGACATTGGAACACTAAGGCTTTCTTTAACTAATAATTCAGGGGGAAAAAAAATCCATAAAAGCCTTGGGTTACCAAGGCTAACTTGGGTTCACCCTCTGCAGTCAGAAGGAAGCACTTGATACAGTTAATTTGGGCACCATCAGCTGTTCCCCACGTGCTGCACAAGGATTGTGTAGCAATTTGGGGTCGGGACTTTCCTGGCTCCTCGCGGTTTGCCCGCAGCAGTGACATTGTGACAGTCTGATGGGGGTTACTAATGTGCCTTACACGGAGTGCTGCAACTTCCCAGCTCCCCGTCAACTCAGGGAATGGATCCAGAGCAGCCCTGGGGAGAAGGATTTGGGGGTGCTGATGGGTGAGAGCTGGACATGACCCATCCCTGAAACCCCCCATGTCCTACGGCAGCAGGGGAGGGGAGATTCTGCCTCTCTGTCCCACTCAGGTGAGCTGCAGAGCTGCTCCAGATCTGGGACTCCCAACAGCAGAAGGATGTGGAGCTGCTGGAAAGAGATCAGAGGAGGCCACAGAGATGCTCCAAGGGCTGGAGCCAGGCTGGGAGAGCTGGGGGTGCTCACATGGAGAGAAGAAGGCTCCAGGGAGAGCTCAGAGCCCTTCCAGAGCCTAAAGCGGCTCCAGGAGAGCTGGAGAGGGACTGGGGGCAAGGGATGGAGGGACAGGACAAGGTGGAATGGATGAAAAAGGGCAGGGTTAGATTAGATACTTGGAAAAAATTCTTTATAATAAGGGTGATGTACACTTTCCTGGTAGTGGACAGGACTTGGAGCAGCCTGGGATAGTGGAAGGTGTCCCTGCCCATGGCAGAGGGTGGAACTGGATGTTCTTTTAGGTCCCTTCCAGCCCAAACAATTCTGTGATTCTGTGATTCTAAAGCTGGACATCACTTGTTGATGTGACCAGTGGATCCTGCCCCAGGGCTGAAAGCAGCTCCCAGAGATCCTGAGGAAGAGGCAGAGATGTTTTGCATACAAATGGATGATTTCCAGGTTTAAGGGTGGAGAAAATGAGAGAATAGGAAAAAAAAAAAAAAAAAGAACCAGCTGTCACTGACTTTAGTAACAGCCAGAAGTCATGAGAGCAGATGAGGAGACCAAAATAGCAACATCAAAACCTCAGCTCTGTGTCTGGGCCCTTCGGATTTCCCTGCAAATGTGGTTGGGTTGCTCCATTGCAGAGCTTTGTTGTTGATTCAGCCACTCCTCTGGTTTCATTTGGAATTCAGTTTTCCTTCTGCCTGCAGGCAGGGCCTGTGTGGGTTTGTTTTGGTTTTCTATTAATTGCTGAATTTTCCTCCTGCACAGCAGGAAAACAGGATGAATCCCCGTGGGATCTGGAGTAGCTGTGCATCTCAGGAGCAGGACCACAACAAGATTTTATGTTCCCATCACTGTGCTAGGGCCATGCTAGAGGCAGCTGGGAGGAAAAACAAATCCATATGCTCTGGGCTGCTACTCTGGGAAGAAAGGAGGTGGTTACAGCCCATCCAAACACACTGAAGGTCAGACCTTTAACTCCTTACCCACTTTCCTGGGCTCTCCTGGTGAGATACCAGCAGCCGCCTGTGTCTTTCAGTAAAGAAATTCCATTTATACACCCTGATAGTAGTTTTCCATGTTATTCTTCTCCACAATTAGGAAAAAACCCACAAGAGCTAGAACTGTTTAAAGATTTACCAGAGTGTGTGGGGATAGCAAATATTTCAAGAAAACAATGTCAGAAATGCCTGAGCTGGGTGAAGATGCAAGGGGTGAAATTCTCCAGCCTATGTTAGGGAAAAGGTCAGGAGAGAGGATTAAGAAGGGTTCCTTCAGCATTAAATTATTTGTGATGAGAATCAGGAAAACACTCTGCTTGTGAGAGTGAATTCACTCCCTGGTTAGGGTTCAGCTCCTGCAACTGCAGCTTCAGGAGAGCGCAGTAAATACAAATCCTTTTAATTCCCTGGAAAACGTAGAATTTACCCTGATAAAATCATCTCATAGGTGGTCTCAC